CCTCACAGGCCAATTTTATGTTCCGAGCAAGATAGGTCGGCTGTCGAGGTAACAGACGACGCAAAACTCCAAACAACTGGACGCCGTAAAACTCCCCATAACTTATTTAACCATGTACTGATTTGGTGAAATTAACGAAGGTATCTTGTCATGTGTCATATGTGTTTGATACGTTTATATAAAAATGCCCTTCCCGCTCCTCAAATGAAGCTAAACTGATCTTTTTCCTTCTCCATTTCGATCCTGGCTCATTCTGACCGGTTATGACCTGAGAGGGCTTCAGTACTGACCAGAGTGAACAGAACATTTGACTCACCGTCGTGTTTTCTATTTGCAGGCATCTCATTTTTTCGGCATTTTATTCCAGACGGTGTTGTACGAAAAGGCACAGGAGGAATTTGCATAGCTATGATTATTCACGAAAATGCGATGCATTGAACGCATTCTGTCTTATCGTTTTTTTTTCAAGTGTCCTTGTGAGGGAGTTTTATTTCATCCTCTCCCCCGCCCCCTCCCTCCCGATGTTAAAGATTGGTTGCGCTGCCTATGACGGCGGCCAAATAGATAAAAACTTTTGTTGTTTTTGAGGTTTCCGCAATAGCGATGACTTTAGGTCATCATCTCTACACTAAAAATAGTTAGGTTTTCGTCCCATTAGCCGGTCTTTTTAAAAGCGGATAATAATTGGCATCGCGGAATCTGTGCTTCAAAAAGGCGAGCTAGACTCGCGCGCGCCCATTGTGGCGCACTGGTGGTCGCCACCTGGTGCACTGGCTGCAGCCGGTGTCCGGTGGCCACAAATGTCATTAGGCAGCGGCGGCTGATGTCTCCGAGGTCAGGCGGTGAAATGAATCAGTGTGGTTGGCCTCAGTCACTTGTGGGAATAAAGAGCGATAGCTATATAACCGTACTTTTATAGAACTGACAGTTAAAATACAAAAATGGGGAGCGTTGCGTAACAGCTGTGACTCAGACGACAGAAAACACAAGAATAAGAGAGGAGCGACAGACTAACACAAGCCTCAAGCCGAAGTAGATGGAAGTAGCCCATGCAGCGTGTGACGGCTATCATAGACATTTAAGGATGTGCATGAAAATGGTACGCCGAACTTGACGGAGCATGTTCGAGACTGCATGAGGCATAAGCTGGTGATGAACAACCCATTCACGTTGACGGCGAGTTCTGGTGTGAGAAGGCGACCCCCATGTCGTTTTCAAGTTAATAAGAGTAAAGCTTAGCAGAAAACACCACCGAATTGGTGTCAATGGGAGCTCGCCATTGGCACTTGCTTTATGATGTTAGATAGCTAATTGACCCTCATATGGCAGGTCAAATGTCTCATTTTCTGGAAAACCGCACTTTTCAGCTTTGCATCACCATACCCGCGAGTCCATACTCTGAGGTGAAGCAAATCTCAAATAGGCGTTTCACTTATTTCTTGGTACAATGGCGTATACTTAATGTGTTTTTAACATACATTTACGACATATGGCTCGATTCCGTTCATGTAACAATGTCGGCCTGCCGCGCGAGTTGTGCTGTATTGTCTGTTGCCGCCCGCCCGCCCGCTCAGGCCGTAGATCTCCGTGTAGTCTTCAACTAAAACTGCCGCCGCTCCGAAATCAGAAAACCTAGAACAACGTTTTTGGTTTCGAAGCACGCGTAATGCGGATCCTCAAATGCTTCCGAAAATTTTCTTTCTTTCCTTTCCTTTCCTTTCTTTCCGAACACAGTAAAAGTCATCATGCAGGCAGTCCACGAAAGTCTGAATGTTAGTGGAATCTATTACCCACTGATCTCTGTACTGTCCCACCCTCGCCTCTGGCATGTGGCGCTCGTTGCTGCGACCCTGACCTCTGCCTGATCGCACCACGCGGCAACCACACGGAAACTTAATGAAAGTCTGGAATGCGTCGAAATTTGGGGTACTCTGAGCAGCCCAACCACCGCTGCCGGGGCATGACGATCGGGAGGTTAACTTGTTCATAACATGAATGTCAGTGGTAAGGAAGGCAGGCACTTTTGCAACGACAACGCATTCCGTCCCACTGGAGAGTCCCGTTCATGAAAACCGCGAGGTGGAGCGAGGAGGCGGGCCGCGCGAAGCGTTCGAGTGCCGCCCTGCCCATACCGCACTTCGCGTGACGGCCGCCAGGTGGCTGGAGTACAGACGTAGGGGGGCACAAATATGTGCGCTTCTTTTTCCCGTGATGGAATCTGCCGGGCTGGTGCGAAAAGTCGGAAAATGTCATTCGGCTCGAAACGCAATGCTGCCCCAAGAGCTGTGAAAAACACCGTGCAACGCATGTCAGAACAAATCTGAAAGCTTTCGCGGGTAGATATCCTTACGCCATCCACGCGCTTTCCGCGGGGCTGTGCCAAAAATCATCCCCAAAACGCTGTCGACTCGTGATCTGCTGGGTGAAGCCCTTATCTACCCTTCTACGCTATTCCGGTGGTTCGATTCCAAATGACCGAAATGTTTCAGGAAAATTCACGCCCACACACGCTATTTTGCACTGATCAGTAGAAAAGTAGTATGAATGGACAAAAACGTGACAAAAAAGACGTAAGCAGCGACAATGGGCAGTAGTTACTGAAGCATCTGCCCAACCTGTTACTCGTTCCATATGGATGCAGATGGATTTGCCCAACCGTCAAGTCCTCTGCTTTGTAAATACTCCGTCCTCCATAGTCTAGCCCACCGCTGTCCTTCCCCCCCCCCCCCCCCCCCCCCTGTTGCTGTAATGGTGACATCCATGCCACGTAGCTGCGCTAATGCCCTTCACTTTCTCTTATCTGTACAGCGTATTTCATTCAAGACCTTACAGTTGTCACACGAAGCTGTCACCGAAGACATGATTGCGATTGTTTTAGGGCCACTTGCTATCAACTGTCGACATAAATAGATCGTCAGGAGCATTGTTCAGCATGCATAACGAGCCCTCAAATGCCAAGCCAGGGGGCCTGTTGCAGCGGTCGGGGCCCCAAGGGACAATGCGTGCATCTACGTCGGGCAGACGCCACCAACTCTGAATAATCGGATGAAAGGGACCACAAAGAGGCGACGGAATGCTCCTCAGTTTGTCTGAGTTCAAGTACCGACGGGGTACTCCCGCCGAACTTCAGGTGGGCTATACCCAAATAACCCGAACTGGGGCTCGTGTGCCAATGGATCCCTTTGAGTCAACGATGGCCCCTGCGTCGATTTGGTGTCAGCTGTTCCGGCCAAAGAGCCTGCCGCATCAGGGAGGGGACCGACACAGTGGGCGACGCAGTGTCCTTCTCAGGTTGTCCTGAACGATGTGCTTTTGTTTCGTTTGTTGTGACAGAGGCTAGGTGATGTGTTCTGCGTTCATGGGCGTGGTCCTGTGCTGACCTCGCTGACCCCTGACGCGGCGCTGACGGCGGCGGCTCGGGACGGTACGGTCAATCCATGAGCAGCTCCCCCGGCGTGTACTGGCAAGCGTTCCCCGCGTAAAACTGAATATATGGCAGTCTGTTGAACGCAACCAGCAGACACAGCACGACCCCTGCTCTCCCGACTCCACGAGCCCCGTGGAGCCTGACGCACAACAGCCGACCCATGACGCCGTGCCAACAATGCTGAGGTTCACAACACGACTACAGCTCGCTCCATTACTTCGGCGGTCTGGTAGATATGCGTGCATCAATACTGTGACAGCCGCACCAAACGCAGGCCGCTTTGGCCCAACTGATGACAAACTTTGGCGCAAAAGTGGTTTCGCCGTCAGAATGTCCCAAGCTGCAATGTAAACCGCCCAACTTTGTGTGCAAATGGTCCATTTTCCACTTCCATCAATATATCTGGTTGACTTCATTTGCTTATCATGTCACACCCGCGTTGTCTTATCTAGCGCGCATTCCTCATCAGATTTCAGTTAACACGTGCTCGGCTGGCGGGTCGATGTCCTAAGGTGCTTAAAAACTTACTTCCAAACGGTGCGGCCCTGCAGCGCTAAATTTGGTTTAGATGTAGGGAACTGAATAGCCAACCGTTTAGCATGCAAAATTAGACATACTTTTCTAAGTTTGCTGACATGTGGGGGTGGGGCAGAGTCTGGCCATGGCTACTACGTACTTAATTTTTCGGGAATCGCTCAGTGGGTTGCGACAGCGTAGTGATAAACGAAATCATAGAACTTTTAGATGGTATCCTAGGCCACAAGATAGTAGAAATTATCATCACTAGTTCCTTGACGTTACATAAGTATGGTGGCAAGATCAAGGTGAAAACCATGCCGCTTTATTACTGGACAACAGGCTTCATCAGGAAGTTTTAATGCTCATACCAACGTTCGAGATCACGACAAAGCATTTAACATTTCGGCTCCGTGAGGGTCAAGGGGCTACTGCTCTAGACTGACCTAGACATTTCCTTCCTTTGAGGAGCATACCACCCAGAGCAGTACTTGCCACTGATTGTAAATTCGAATGCCAAAATAACCCCCAGGTTCCGGTGATGTTTACCTTCCATAGGTCAAATAAGGCGCAAGATCTCGTAACATCATTGACGTCTAGGCTAACGCTGGTCGCGTGAGGACACCTGGGGACCCTTCGGTCACCGACCTGGAGTTTAACCTTGATTGGCCCAAAAGCTACGGACTGGGCACCTCAAATGTGAGACGAGGGAGTTCGCATAAACAACTACTTACCCAGTGAATCGGTCGCCTATAGCTCCTAGCTCTCGAAATCACAAGGGGAATTGATTTCCCACCCTCACCTGAAAGCGGAGCATCTAACCGGCGCAAATGCCGGTGTCATTGTGTGGGAACTATTGTATGACAGGTGGTAGCGACACCAACGCTCATCGAAAGTACGCACGAAACGAAATTTTAGCATCTCATCGTTGAAATATGCTCCTATCGGCAGCTTCGCCACAACTTTTCTCGGCACTCTCAACCCCAGCTCACGTTCGGCTGCTGAATATGGATACACATGGTTATATCGGCTGCGGAATATGGATACACAGACGAGAAACATCTCCCAACATCTGGTTATTGGTGTGGACCATGAGACACCGCCGCTTTCCAAGCCTGGACTGCAGATCACAGAACGTAACGGCCGCAGCAGCACGACAGCCGACGACAGGCTTAATACTGATCACGGTCACAATAGATAAACACGGCTGGCGCCCGCTTCGACCGCGATGCCGGGCGCACTGCGATACACGCATCGTCGCACAATGTATGAGCCCCCAGCGACAACAGCGACCATTTCCTTCAGGGAAACCAGCCAGCCATGCACGCGTCCAAGACAACGCAACCCACCGCCACTGCCGCGACTAAAGCGCCGCTCAGCGGGTAGCCCTGCTCGGCAAGCATCACACGCCCGGGGCACGGTTGCCCCACGGCCGGTGGAATGTGGGGCAGTGAGCGCTCAGTCCGCACGAGGAGCACGCCCGCCCGTGGGGGGGGGGGGGGGGCAGGAGCGCCCGCGTCACATCTCCAGCGTGCCGCCGCGCAAGCCATGAAAGGGCGTAGGCTCCACTAAGCGTGTGTTAAAGCATGGGCGTTCAGACCTCTCCGATAGGCAAATGACGCGCCGCAGGTTTCGCACGAGTACGGCTTTTCACCCGTGTGGGTTCGCTGGTGGGACTTCAGGTGCGATTGCCGCCAAAATGCTTTGCTGCATGTCTCACACGAATAAGGCCTCTCGCCCGTGTGAGTCTGAAGGTGGACCTTCAGAGCACTGTGCCGAGAAAACGATTTGTCACAGTAATCGCACTCAAACTGCTTTTCTCCAGTGTGGATGCGAAGGTGCATCTTGAGATTTCGCTGGTACTTAAACGCCTTGCCGCACACAAAGCACGGGTACGGCCGGACTCCCGTGTGGATCCGAGAGTGGACATTGAGCTTGCTCCTGGACACAAACGCCTTGCCGCAAATACCACAGACGAACGGTCTCTCACCAGTGTGGGTGCGGGCGTGCAGATTCAGCTTGCTCTGCGAGGGGAACGCCTTGCCACAGACCTCGCACGCGTACGCCCGCCCGTTCCCGTCGCTGTGGGTCCGAAGGTGGACGTCCAAGTGCGACTGCCGCCAGTACGCCTTGTCGCACAAGTCGCACGCGTAGGACCTCTCGTCCGTGTGCGTTCGCACGTGCACCTTCATGTGAGACTGCCGCACGAACGCCTTGCCGCACACGTCGCAGCGGTACGCCCTCTCGCCGGTGTGCGTCCGGAGATGAGCGGTCAGATGCGACTGCCGCAGGAACGCCTTGCCGCACACTTCGCACGGGTACGGTCTCTCGCGCGTGTGCGTTCGGAGGTGGTCCTTCAGAGCCGTCTGCCGGGAGAACGCCTTGCCGCACGTGTCACACTCGAACGGCTTCTCGCCGGTGTGGATCCGCGCGTGGAAGTTCAGCTTGCTCTGCGCCGTGAACGCCTTCCCACACACCTCGCACGCGAACGGCCTCTCGAGCTCGTGCGTCCGGAGGTGGAGCGTCAGGTCGGCTTGGCGCGCGAAGGTCCTGCCGCAGGTGTCGCACGCGCACGACCTGCCCTCCGCGTGCTGGCGCACGTGCAGCATCAGGTCGCTGGCGCGCCAGAAGGTCCTCAGGCACACGTCGCACCCGTGCTGCCGGTGCAGCGTGGGCGCCCCGGAATAATCGCTGACGTCATCACCGTCCTGCTGCTTGCATGACCTCGCGCTCTCCTGAAAAGCCGACGTCATCTGTCCGGTGCCCGCCAGGCAGAGCCTCTTCACGTTGGCCTCTCGAGGCGGCTGGGGCGATAAGCCGTGGTCGTGGCCGTTCTTGCCCAGCGGCTGGTGTAGCGGTCCGAAGTAACGAAACGGACAGGGCCGCTTCGGGCCGCCGTAGTTGCAATGGCTGTAGCGCAGGGGCGCAGAACCTGGAATAAAAACGTGCATGGGTTGGTCTGCGGCTCGGACCGGAAACCACTTCTTATGTTGTTGTTTGTTTGTGTTTGCTTATCTTACGTTTTTGTTTTTCAATTTCTTCTAAAACGTGACTGCGCTAACAAAGAAGCGTAAATCACGCCAGTAATGGGCACACAGATTATTCCACAACTATACCACATCCACCTAAAATCGAATCGGAAAGCTTTCGAGCAAATCAACAAAACAAAAAACATTTGAAAATAGCTAACACTTAAAAGATCGTGTGCGCTGTGCCGCGCGTCGGCCGTTGGGCGCGCACAACTATTGAGGATCGGTGCGACCACACAAATTTTCTCATACTCATTTTGTTTCCCTTCATCTAGCGTGCGTACAACGGATGTGTCACCATGACAAGTTTTTCACAGATTATGGGCGGACGGGAGACTACTAAGATTCGTCGCTCGTAACTGCCTTACTTCACAGGCATCAGTCAGGCATAACTGCCTGATCGCACAGGCGTCTGGGGCACCTGACGGTGCACAGGTACACCACGTAACCATGGCAACCGAGGTGGTCTCTTAAGAGACCCCCTGATGTAACATCTCGGGTAGGAGGGTAATAAGTGCGTGCTAAAAGCAGCCTTGGGTATCACTTAATTTTCTTCGAAGATTTGACTGTTTCCACAGACGGTGAGTAGTTACTTCTTCTGGTGTCAGGCAAAGCACCGCCCCAATGCTGGAGCCCAGGAGTGGTCCGTATCCGGCCAGCACGCGGGGATACATGAGGTATACAAGTTTGTTCTCGGGGGCAGGCAAACAGCAGTCGAAGAGGTTGTTGCCAGAACTGTTATGATTTGCAGCTTGAAAGGAGCCATTGGCATTAGCAGCATTAAATCACTGTGTAAAAAAATGTTTGCACAGATTAATGCTTACACTGAACATTCACAAAAAGAAACATGTGCACCGTGGTTGTTACTCAATTTGGTGTCAATCATCCATTCCACAAGATAGCACACCTTCTCAGACACCTGACCCATGAGGCACCATTCCCATTTGTCACTATGACAAAGACCCGGCACCTCCTTCATACGCTCAGCGCTGGCTGGTTCTGAAACCCTCCTCTGGTTCCAGTTTCCAGAATTGAGCCCTGGTGAAGATTAACAGGTCAAGGCCTTGGTCAATGTGGGATGAAGGCAGCAGCAGCCTTAGATGACCCTCCTATTGGTAAAGAATGGTGTTATACCTTTCTCCTCTGCACTCTGTGACTAAGGCCAGCCTTATTAACCTAACTAAAAAACTAAACTAAACTAAACTAAACTACTGACTAAAAAATACTAAAAAAAATGGCAACCAAGCTATTCAGTCTTTTAAGCATACACACCAGAGGTAGATGCTCCAGTCAGTGCTGGGGAAATGTTCTTGGACACCTGCCAAGTGATATGCAGCTTCTTGGCGTGACAATCTGCACTGCCAGCGCCCAGCAGTTTGGAGTCCTTATGTGTCTGTTCAGGTCTGTAATGTGATATAAGTGATCAAATTGCTTCCTCAAATTAAGCTATCAGCTTAAGCTAACACATTCAACTTCTGCTGACAACCTGAGTCAGGCAAATAGGACATTAAGGAGCACTGCAAACCATCTCACATGTGTTACTGACTTTATATCAAACATTTTCAGAGGCAAATTAAAAAGCATGACATATTGAACAACTCTGGGTGGCAGATATGGGGTAATAGCCAGGCATCTGGCTTTAAAGCTGAGTGTGAAGCCAAGACAATGACAGGAGGCCAAACTCAATGCTAGTTTCACACCCATTCCTGCCAGGAAGCATTGCAAGTTGTACAAGAGCCAAGTAATTTGATTCAATCTGCATTGGAATGAACAAGAACAGGTAGAAGCAGTAAGTAATTAACAAGTATCTTCCAACAATCACAGCACATATGCAGATATCAAATTTGTCAAAATAAATCATGGCATATATGAATAAAAACTTAGGATACAGCTTGCATATATATTTCCTTTGCCTTTAATCATATAGCTTGTCCCAGGCATCTCACATACTCACATTCTGATGTCCCCATTCAAGAATCCCGGGATGCTGGATGGCATGTCAAGTGGAGTGCTGCAGGCTGCCTCCAACCGTGCCTCCATTGGGACAAGGGTAGAATTCAAAGATGGTGCTAGTGTTCTTAACACCAGCTGCCAGTGAAAACATACATTTCATAACAAGAAAAAAGAGAACCACTGTCATAGTCAGTCTGCATTAAAAATCCATCCACTGCACCAAATGCTGAAACCCACATATCAGTGAGCTGAACCTCATGCTTACTTACTTCAAAACTGAGCCCAAAAACATTGTGCTAAATTTACACACCTGATTTTTGGCCACAAATGATAGCGGATAATGTTGCCTACAACCAAACTCGAGACATCCCAATTCCTTAAAAATGACTTTCTAAGCACTTGAATTGGTCTTATGCACTAAGCTCACAACTCGTTGAAACTAAAATCTATCAAAAATAAAGTAGGGGCTGCGATGCAACCGTTGATACGCTTCACAGTTTAACATGACCACTTCATCTATCCAGAAACTATCCAGTGAAATTTAACAGAAAGTTGAATGGCCGATGAGAAAAATGGTTGGAATTCCTGCACAAGAGGTACGATTCCGAGCAGCACAATAATAAAACCACCCGAGAAACTGCGTCACACACCCTTCCGGAAAATTTGCAAAAACACCGCTATCGAATCATCTTCGCAGTTTTCGCTCCATCTGGAAATACGAGACAGCCAGTAGGAACTAAAATCATGGATATACTCAAAGCGATATACTACTCTGAAGTTGGTAGTCTTTCAGAAACTTCGGGCTGTTTGCATACCAAAATAGCAGCGTGCACAATTGATAACTTGCATGTATGTCAAAAGAACGTAATAGTAGTATTCCGGTGATTCCAATATTCGTCTCAAGATATTTCATTAAGCATTGTGATTTATTGTACAAAAAAATGACTTTTTGAGTTTGGCTTTATTCACGGGTTTGGCTGTATTTACTATGCCACCTGTCCCGAATCTACGGGTTTGGCTGCATTTACTATGGCACCTGCCCCGCACAGCTGGGGATGTAGCGCAGTGGTAGCGCGTTCGCTTTGCATGTGAAAGGCCCCGGGTTCGATCCCCGGCATCTCCACAGTTTTCCTTCCGCACTTCTGGAATTAGTCCTTGTTTTGGTGACTAATTCGAGCACTATTAGGTATTCATTCCTCTTACCTTACCTTACCTCCACATCCGTCATTTTCTTCAGCGCAACTTCCCAGCAAGGAAGTGAACTAAAATTCTGACAAACAAATTTTTACCTTTTCCGTCTAAGCAGTCAAATCGACTCTCATTACGAGATAATTACGAGCGATTCCCATAAGCCGAGATCAGATGAGTTTCCCGCCACATTTTGTAAACAAAGTCTCCCAGATGCAATTAGCGTAGAAAGGAAATTTTTCAAATTGCGAGAGCTGTAGAAACGGGTTGGAATCAGGTCCAGGTGTATGCGACACGCCGTTGCGGCAACCCGAGACTAACTTGCGTTACCGTAGAACACAGGCGAACCCAGTGGCAAAAGCGTGAGTCCATGTGTGCAGGCTATCATGACCCGTCGTACACAAAGTACAGATCAGCCCGGCTCGGAACGTTTTGTTTTTGTTTTTTTGTTTTGTTTTTTTTAGCTGTTGACGCATTTTAAGTTACCCCCTGGCAGTGGAGAGTTGACGTCTGTCGGCCTGCGCATCCAGTGATGGCTATATTACCATGATCCGGGAAAAAATACTGATTTTAAAACTCAGTAATTGCGACTGTGCGCCTTCCTTGGCACTGGCTTCGGACTGCCAGCTGTCATTAAAACCCACTCATCCAAATTTGGTTTCTACTTTTTCTGTCGACTACATATAGCGTTTCACTTAAGCTGGCTGTCCAGCTGGAGCACTGATTCGCAAGGATACAAGCGTCTAATCTGAGATGGTTCTGCTTGTTCACGAAAGGTGCAACCTTGCCGTAACATTGTTGCGGTGGGGACGCTGTCAGGCAGCGATGTAAATCTCGCATTGGCCGACATTACTTTTTTGGTCAAATCACCTTTTAACAACGCCGAGCTAACGGCGAGCTGTCTGCAGATGGAGCCATAATACGCCGTTTGGGGAAATAAGTAGAGTCGAAATGGAAGATAGTGACATGGCGCATTCGACAGAACTGGTGTAGAGATATCAGCTGCCAGTACAACACACTCGTCCTACTTTTGTTCCTTTTTCCATTCGGTAGGCCCCCTAGCAGCGTATCACATAATAGAGCGGTGATTTGAGCAGATATGGCGTTCAACTAAAAATATGTTCTCTTGTGCACGGGAGGTAAAAGCTTATATAAATGGAAGCCATTACCGGTCGCGACACCGTAAATCTCGCATCCGCCAACATGATCTTTCTTGTTCCTATTAGCCCTTGACGGCGCAGAGCTAATGGCGGTCTGCCTGCAAAAAGAGTGGCGGCCATAATACGGGCGGGCTGGAGAAAATACCTACAGTTAATCTGGGGGATTGTTCCTTGGTAAATTCGATAGAACTGGTGCAGGCTATCGGCTTCCATTACAACACACCAATCAGATAAATGTTTCGGTTTGCTTTCAGTCGATTCCCGACAGCGTCTCTTTCAATGCCGGCGGACCAAGTTGAGGAGTGATTTGAAATGATGCGTCGCTGAAATTTAAATCCTTTTACTTGTGCGCGGAAGGTCCCCCTTGCCGTAACGATGTCAGCGTTGAAGTACTATCGGCCGGCACTGAAAGCACTTGCATCAGTAGACATAACAAGTTTTTTTTAATTACCACTTCACAGCGCAGACCTAGCGGCGTTTTGCCTGCATGTGCAGTGATTGCCACAATACAGCCGCATGGGAAAATGCTCAGATTTAATGTCATCGATTTCAAATGTGTGCATTCGTTATCGGTGGTATCAGGCTGGCAGCACAGCATACTCGTCCGAGTTTGGTTTCGATTTGTTCGGTCAATCCCCGGCAAAGTAACATTTGATGCTGACGTTCGGATCAGAGCGGAGATTTGCAAGAATACGGCGTCGAATTCGAATTGCTCGTACTTGTGGGCGAGAGGAGCAACTTTCCCGTAATGATATTATGGTGGTAGAACCATAGGTCGAGAATGTAAATTTCGCGTCGGCAGACATGAACTTTTTTGTTCAACTCACGCTTTTATTACGCAGAGCTAACGGCGGCCGGCAGCACGTTAAGTGATGACCGTAACTCGGCGGCTCGGGAAAAATACCTAGGCATGTGTATATATATATATATATATATATATATATATATATATATATACTATAGATATGTATACATGACACTTACATGTATTCTTATGTGTATATATATATATATATATATATATATATATATATATATATATATATATATATATATATATATATATATATATGCAAGTATCTATACGTAGGTATTTTTCTCGAGCCAATGAGTTATGGTTATCACTTTACGTGCTGCCGCCCGCCGTTAGCTCTGTGTAGTAAAGGCGTGAGTTGAACAAAAAAGGTCATATCTGCCGACATTAGGCTTACACTCCCAACCTGCAGTTTTCCCACCATATTATCGTTGCGGGAAAGCTGTTCCTCTTGCTCACAAGTACGAGAATTTCGAACAGGACGCCGCATCCTTGCAAATCTGCGCTAACGACGGTTTCCCTACACGCGGAGTAATAAACATAACGCAGAAGCCCGGAGAAAAAACTTCAACTAAACCCAGCGGTTAAAGCCGAGTGCATTTTTTAGCACTGATATCCGCCTATCAGTTCCCAGAACGACACGCTCATCCGCTTCTGGTTTCGAATTTGTTCATCGATCCCTCGACATTACGTAAGTTGTCCAGTGCATTAGCGATGAACATTAGTCGCATAAATATGACAGTAGTATTCGCCTTTTTCATCGGAAAAACCAGGGGAACAGAGATATAGTTAGGTTAATATTTCGGCAACATGCCTTTCTCGAAACAATAGCAGAAGTGAATTCAAAATTGCGTGCCGATTATCCTACTCCATTTTGTATTCTTTTTTCGAAAGAGCATGCCGCATTTTTTACAGGATACGAACATTCAGGAGATTACACAAACAGCGATTGCCAGCCATTAACAAGATACGGTATCTATCTAAGGTAGGTAAGGTACAATGCCCGGACATACGTGAACATGCCTTGTTAAATTAACGTTACATCGTTAAAAAATCAAAACTGCGCGTACGCATAGCTTGGAAAAACGACCAGAAGCTTAAAAAGTCTCTGGTGAAATCTTTCATCTCGAAGCCTAAGTGTCCGGATACCAACAGATGCTATTTATGCAGTCCTGGGTTTTAAGGGGTTTGCAAGCAAAAAAAAAAACGTGATTACGAAACCAAGTGTAAACTGTGTGAAAATGTGGGAGGGACATGGTCTATGTCGGGGAGTCCATGCGTCCTATTTGTTTGAGATATCATGAATACCTGTGAGACGCTGAAAACAAAACAAGGAATACTCCTTTCGGTGACCATTTTTGGCAAATCACGCTCAGGCTGAAATCGAGGAAAGTATGCACCCTATGTCCCTTTTAGAGCTCAAAGTCATCTACAGAGCACAGAACCACCCAGACCAGAAAATAAATGAATCTATTCTTATAAAGGTCGGCGACCAAATCTTAATATACAGGGCTCATCATAGCCAAATGTGCGAAGGTGATATGTGCCTCTATGTGTGATATGTGCTAGCTTAATATCGTTCACGTGTGTCAGTGATGCCTGGCGCGTGATGTGCGATGCCTGTTTAATTGAGATCGTTTGCATGCATAGTTGATGCGCGATTTGTGATGCCTGTTTACTTCAGCTCGCTTGTATGTTCGAATGAAGCGTGATGGGTGATGTCTATTTGCTTGAATTCGTTTGTGGCTGGCAACCGCTCTTTGTTTAATCCCCTGAATTTTAGTGTTATGTAAAAACTGTGGCTTGCTCTTTCAAAAAACCTGAAAAAAATTCGGGTACGCCCATCCGGGGCCCCTCAAAGTTTATCTGGCAACACCGCTGTGACGTCACGCGCGCGCCTGGACAAGCCACAACTTTGTACGCCCATAGGAAAGAGTCTTTTTCAAAGGCAGCCTTTGGGCGGATTGAGAGGGTACAGGCGGCTGAAACGCTTTCAGCGTTAGACAAAACGTGTGGTCTCTCGTGCGCCAGGTGTGCTTTTAAATCTTAGTGCTTTGGTTTTGAAATGCAAGTCATTTTGCACAGTTGTCGCAACGCTCACCTAGGTGGCGTCACTAGTACCAATGCCTGGTTTATGGGTGCCGCTAGTATTGTTCTTGGGGCTGATGCTCATTCAGTTTTCCTGGACACTTGCGTCTTGTTTCTCGAGGCGTTATGCGTGTTGGAATGCAAACTGTGCTTGTTGGGTTGCAAATATCTTAACATTTTGCGTGCAAATGTTTTTCCTTTATTTTGTTCGGTCACCAAGGCATATTTTCGACTCACTTGCGCCCGCCATGCTAGTCTAAACGTCACATTCTGTTCGGTCACGGCATTGGTTACCATCATGTGTGAGCCTACTAAGTTTGACCTTGAATTGAAAGTTTGATAATCGTCTTGTCTTGACTGACGCTTTAACCCTCCTGAACTGGCTGAATGTTAAACGCGTGACTACAACATGCGACATTTCGACATTACCATCAACATTAGGTGAGCAAGTTGGTGTAAGAACAACTCGTCCGGAAAGCCGACGACTCTGCCCATGTCTGAGACACACACACACACACACACACACACACACACACACACACACACACACACACACACACACACACACACACACACACACACACACACACACACACACACACGCACACGCACGCACGCACGCACGCACGCACGCACGCACGCACGCACGCACGCACGCACGCACGCACGCGCACACACACACACACACACACACACACACACACACACACACACACACACACACACACACACACACACACACACGCAGACGGTGCAGGTTCGAGCTGCGATCGACGATCGATATCAATCGCAGCTACTTGAGCCAACTGGAGCGATGAAGGATGTGGGCAGGGCGGCTTTTTTAGAGTGGCGAGTGTGGCCTTTAGTGGCCAGCATTAGCGGCAGCGGCCGGCACACGAGAAAGCTTCTGATAGACCGAAGAGGAAATCTTGCAGGAACGATATTATTGCGGAGGTAATATCATTCGGTTATGTAGATATCACATCGTAAGACATGACCATTTTGTCAAGTCACCCCTGGACAACTAAAAGCTAGCGGTGGTGTTCCTACGCATAAAGTGGTGGCCAGAATACGGCGGCCCGGGAAAATAATAATGAATCTGGAAGATTGTGACTTTGTGCATTCGAAAATTCCGGTAAAGGATTTCAGCTTCCATTACAAACACAGCTGTTCGATTAAGGCATCCATTTTGTTTGGTTCCCCCCCCCCCCCCCCCCCCCGAGAGTCTCACTTAATGCTGGCGAGACTGCTCCAGCGCCGATTCGGAAAGACCAATTTAACAGGCAGCAGCAGGTGCGCGTAATTTGTGCGCAGCAGGTGCGGCCAGGATTATTTCTTTGTGCCACTGACAAAATTTTGGAAGAGCCCCAATTGACATCTGCAGCCAGTTATATCTGTAACCTTTGGAGAATAAATTCAAAGGCGATTGGCTACATAAATCAAGGATAAACAAAGTGCAACGTGTCATAAACCCCATAAATCTAAAAGTTGGTAGTGAGCTCATTTCATGAGTTTTATTTGCACCCATGTATCACTTGCTGGTCACGCGTAAAGTCCTGGTAGTAATGACGTTGGTCTGGATACACTAGAAGCGAGCTTAAGTCGATCAGTTCGTCGGTTCGGTTCAGACTAGGCGTCGCACGTGCGAAGGAAGACGAGCACAGGCGAGGTCAGTTGCCGGGTCACGACAACAAATGGCACGTGACAAATTACACAGACTATTTCACATGCTGGGGCGATACCGTTGATTGACAAAGAGCTTTTGCGGGGTTTAATCCATCCATAAAACACTTCACCGTCTTACTATCAGATTGCGTACTCTTGATTTGAAGTACTACAGTATCCTGATCCGATAATTGATATATTGTTTCATGTTACAACACAGCTAAAACTGCATTGTGTGAACGTCATTTTCATAGTTTCCATAGCAACCAATGTCTAAATTTTTACCCTTTACCATTTGCATCTGGGAAATCTTTACTCCACAGTCCAGAACCGCTGACCAGAAATCCCACACTGGATTACACGGGGCAACAGACGGTGATCGTAGCTCGTGAGCATCGCAGCCCGCCGTCCCGGGCACATCTGCTGTTTGCTTTGCGCTCGAGAGGCTCCAGCTCGGATTCCTGCTGTCCCCACGCGTTCGCCGCCTTTGCCTCTTTTCGCGATGATTGCAGTCTTATGCAATATCACTGCGAGTATCAATGTCGAATGGAGTAGTTGCGTGCACAACCCTGCCCAGACAGCAATTCAGGTTTCGGGGGAACGAGGCAGTGTCATGAAGTAGCTAACCATTATCCAAAATTGAACTTCTCGTTCGGTGTGATTCAAGTCGCTTCAAGAAAACTATCTTTTTGAGAGCTGGGGATCCTTTTCATCCCGCTGATTCTTTGTTGTAATCTATACCCCCAGAGTTGAGTTGGTCTAGCTGGAATGCATTATGAGCCCATTATGTAAAAGATTGCCCCAAGCAAGATTCCCTCGCCACCGGCTGAATTATTTATTGTATTAATTCCTGTCCAAGGCTGGCATTCAGTCCATCCACGAACATTGCAACATAACAGTCGGAAAGCATAAGTCCGTGAGTGGACTGTGGCACATAAACAACACTGTGTTCAACCCATATCTTGCTTGGTTCTGGGGCGCTTTTAGTCCCAGTAATAATGAGCGCGGGCGCCAATAAATAAACGTTATCCTTCATGTATAATCTATAATCATTTAAGTCATACCACTGGCATGAGCACGTTCCCCTCCATAGACAATTGCAGTCACGTACTGTAGCATCAATAACCAGTGGACCTTGGCTTACGAGCAACAAAGAACATGAAACACAAACAGTTAACAGCTGAAATATATTGCGGCTCGATCGTATGCCCTTCACTCCATCGCTCTGTCTTTCACAAACTTCGAGCGGACAGCTCGTCGACGAGACTCCCGAAGTCTTTGCTGGAGCCGGGCGCTGGTGAGCAAATTGAAAGGGACATTGTAACACCTGAGGCTCTTGGCCAAACGCCAACTCACACCACACCGCGTGTCGGAGCAGAAGATGACGTCGGCGAGGGTTACACAGCAACAGAAACTTAACAGCTCTGCCGAGCACCAATCTCTAGGCGCTACGCGACAGCGGGGGCAACAGAGCATGGAACAAACGTCATGCGTCAGCTGATCAACGCCCGCTGAGGTCCGGGATACGTGTAACAAAGGCCGCAGCCCGCCTGCCCACGTCGTAACAGCGCGCGCGGCACACCGCACCAAGCACTCCCTCGCTCGCCGCCGACGCCGGAGCGGCGCACAGCGGCGCACAGCAGCGAGCTTGGCGCAGCTGAAACAGCGCCCACACAGCACAAGGCGCTGCGTCGGAGCGCCGACCAGCCAGACTGCGCCTCGGACTGAAGAGGGCGGGAGGAGCGGGACATGGCGCGCGGCCGGGCGAACCAGCCGACTGCGCCACGGCAGGCTCCTGCGCGGGCCTGCCCCCGCACGGAGCCGCCAGCAGCCGTGATAAGGTGGCGGTGTGGGGCGCCCGGTTACGCTCTGTGCACTCGGCGATGGGCAAGCGCTTGCACCTTTTGAAGATGCCAGGTCAAAACTGCTCACCATTTCCAGACACATGGACGCACTTTGCAAAAGACAATGTTATCTCCGTCACCGACAGACGAGCAGCACAGGGCGCTGGTTTCTGCGGACGCCACAGCCACCCCTCTATCACATCTACGGACCAGCTAGCGCCCGAGGTGCGGGCGGGTGGCCCGGACGGCTGGGCGGCGCCGCTGGCGGCGTCAGCTGACCTCCGGCAGCGGCGCCAGGTCCGGCGCCACGAACCTGCAACGGCAGCAGGCTGGTGAGCGCGCGGAGTCAGCGGCCCGGCGAGTCATCTCCGAGTCGCCGAGTCATCTCCGGCGCCGGCAACGCGGCTGAGCCGTGGAGCGCGAAGTCGGGACACACGAGCGGGTCAACTATTGCGGAAGATCTCCAAACTTGGGTTGGAAATGGCCCCCAACAACCATCGCCTCATAAGGAGTGTCGCTTGATCGATGGGCAATGTGTATGCTTGCCGAGAGTATGTCGCCTGATCAATGCGCTCTACCAATGCGCGGTATTGTCCCACACAATGCAATCACGTCACCACGAATATGAGCCTCTCCATTTCAGAGATATGAATAGCCTTGAACAACAGAGTCGGAGCAGGCTTTGGTCCTAAAACAAATCACCTCAGCCCATACGATGATACTTCATAAAAATGGTACCCCTGTGAAGTTCTTTTAAGTTTTACTACACAACTTATCTTATACAAATGAAATCAACCATTTAAGTTTAGTGAACCAATGAATTCACGTTCAAAAATCATCCTTGAATTGTTCGATGTATCGAGGGGAAGTGGTTCGACCAAGGCGCAATATAGGCATTGGCCGAACTTCTCCTTGGTCCTTGGTCTAATTCTTCATCGGAATTAGCATACCCCTTCCCCTCCCACCTCTCTCCCCATCCACATCGCAGCCCTCCAGCCGACGCCCACCTGTGCTTAGCCTCGTCCGTGTCCAGCAGCGCGGCCGAGTAGTGGCGGCCGAGCACGGCCGGGTGCAGCAGGTGCGCGTGCTGACGCCGGAACTGCTCGAACGTGGCAGCCGGTGGCGCCGCCCGCAGCGCCGCCGCCACCAGCCGCACGAAGCAGCACGTCACCGTCTCGTGGTAGCCGCGTGATACGCGCGTCTTGTTCACCGCGTTGTACCGCTGGATGCCCTGTCTGGGGGCGAGACGAGGCGGGGGTAGGCGGCGTGAGGTTGCGGTGCGGGGCGGACACACAGGCCACGCCACGGGAGGAATCATGACCCTGGAGTTGGCCAACGTTGAAGCAAGCGCCGGACGGACGACACAAATGACAGCATTCGCTGCAGTGCCGGTCACAATCACAGCAATGGTAAAACACCGCAGCCAGACTACGTTTAAGATACCGGAACCCGCAGTCTGTCAGCGGAGTCAAAGGCAGGACTGGCGGTCTGCCTCCATGTACGGCAGTCAGAGGCCTTAGAAGCACCCAGACGACGTAACACGGGTGAAGGAGCCCACGCCCCCGTTGGCGGACTGCAGTGATCTTCAGAACCGGCATGCTTTAGAGTACAGGACCGGCCCGCGGCTTGGTCCCCTGCTGCCCGCACCACTGCTCCGCCAAGCCCGTGACGCACTACGCTCACTCTCACGCGGCCCCCGCCGGGCCTGCAGAATAAAACCGCAACGCATTGCCCGGGTGTAACCGATGCAATAACGCCAACGCGAAGTGACAACCAGGAATTCGTCCTACGTCACAAGAGTCGTCGAAGGTGATAGGAGCCCTTACAAGAGCAGAAGGGTCTAGGCTACGTTAACAGCGAGTCATCGCCGACGTCAGCAGCTACAACCCTGACCGCCGAAGAGCCAAGCCAGACTAACGCAGCACCCCAAGCCACTCGACACAGCACGCCGCCCAGGCGGGACCAGCCATCACGCCGCGCTCACTTGATGAGGCGCTCCGCCTCCTCCAGCGGGTGACTGATCAGGTAATTCCAGGCCATGCGCACGTGCGCCTCGTGCGTCCAGTCCTCGAACGGCAGCGTCTGGTGCTCGAACGCCGACATGAACGCCGCGTCCGCCAGGCTGTGGTACGACCTGCGGAAGAGTGTCCCGGTCAGCGGTCCGTGACCCCCGCACGTCCGGGGCTGCCTCTCAGCCGACAACCGCTCTCGTATCCGGCGCGCGTCCCTGCCACACGTCTGCGTGCCTGTGCGTACGTGCGTACGTGCGTGCGTGCGCGCGTGAGTGGGTGGGCGCGTGCATGCGTGCGTAAGTGCGTGTGTTGTGCGTAGCATGGCTATTGGCCAATGCGCATCACGTCAGTCTCAGGACGTAGCTGATATCAAGCGGCGGTCCGGGACGTCCCTTCCGCTGTGCGATAATCGAAGCGACGGGGTGCTGCAAGGAATTGCCCGGACTTGGCGCTGGTAACCACGCTCGGATGTGCTCCAGGAGAGTGAGACGTACGTTGTGAAGCTCCCACAACATATACAAGACGCGTTCCTCGAACACATCACAAATCATCAAGATCAGGGCATACACCAATACACAACACTGAACGTGCCCACGAACCCTGCGCCCTGTTCGTTGGTGCCTTACAGGATAGCTGCCACCCCGGGAGGCTTTTCTGTGCTGGCGTGGAAACCCATATCGCATTACACACACGAATTAATCTCACACTAAGGACACGATTCCAAACCCACGTCATCTTACCGCTTGTAGAACACCATGGGGTGGCAGTCCTTAGCAACTGTTGATTCCAAGACTTGGCCATAGATGACAGCATGGTCGCCGACCACATCCGACTTGAAGACGGAACACCGAATACCTAGGGTCAAGCAATGCGCACATTTCTCACGCTGGGGAACGGACACTTGTCTTCGCATCTGACCTTGGACAGGTCGACATGTGACATTCGATCACAAAAAGCAACGATTTCGTTCTGAATGCGTCACATGTTTTCCAGCACCACACCGCCACACATGAGCGAGACAAAAAGTAAGCTGCAGCGTAAGCCGCATTGATCCAAGCACGAGTGGCCCCACAAACAGAAACACCCTGGACGGTTTAGGAGGACCAACATTCCCCAGGTTCAGCATCCGCGCCCCAACAGCCTCCGACGCTGCAACAGCGACGCTAGCCTGTGATCCGGCGGCTGCGGCTCACGGGCAGAGGCGGCCGACGGAACGGAGACAGCGTAGCGGAACGGGGACAATGGAACGGAACGGAGACGGAGCGGCGGAACGAAGACGGTGCAACGGAAGAAAGACGGTGCAACGGAACGGAGACGGTGCAATGGAACGGAGACGGTGCAACGGAACAAAGACGGTGCAGTGGAACGGAGACGGCCGGTCAGAACGGATACAGGGCAGCGGAATGGGGACAATGGAACGGAACGGAGACGGAGCAGCGGAACGGAGACGGTGCAACGGAACGAAGACGGTGCTGCGGAACGGAGACAGTGCAACGGAACGGAGACGGTGCAACGGAACGAAGACGGTGCAACGGAAGAAAGACGGTGCAACGGAACGGAGACGGCCGGTCGGAACGGATACAGCGAAGTGGAAAGGGGACAATGGAACGGAACGGAGACGGTGGCACCGCGCAGGCCGCAGCCATTTCCAGTTCAACCCCAGCTCAACAGCTTCCGTCTCCAGTATACACAGCGTGCGGGATGCGGGGAGGGGGGTGGGGAGGGGGGGGGCTGCAGCTTGTTCGCCGCCGCGCTAGCACTACGTTCCGCGAAGTTTAAATCACAAACCGGACCGGCGGCCATGCGTCTGCGACAGAGTACTCTCCGCAGCGCTCCCGGCCACTTCGTACCTGTCCCTGTCCTGTCCCTGCACTGCACCAGCACCGATGCCTTCCGCGTGCCCCAACGGTATCAGTACAGTCACCCGCGCTCCTGTACTGGCATTGCCGCCCTGTCGCGGGGCGGCGCTGGTGTCCCCGTCCCTGAATGGGCACCGCCCTGGTTGCATCCGTACTGTGATACAAACGCCTCGGTTTATATTCCACCCCAGCTTTACGTAAGAGAACGCCATGCAACTTATCACGTACACTTCTATGTAGCGGCCGCGGCGGTTCTAATGGCGTTCAGGGGCTCTAGCGTAACGAGAGATGTCCCCCCCCCCCCCCTCACACACAAACATACAAATGCTCTAAGCACTAAGTCGTTACGCCCTCTCCTCGCCCCTATTCTGGTCACGCATCTTATTGATTTATTGACTCTAATGACTCTAAGCTGGAATGGTTGGCAATACTTTGTGCTGGGGCAGGCTCCGGCGTCCGTACCGGTGTACACGTCCGTGACACTGTGCCGGTACAACCGGCCGTGTCTCCGTAGAGGCGCAACTGCAAGTACACTAGCACCAGCACAGCCACCAGTGCCCCTGTGCCGGCACCGTCGCCTGTGTTTCTGCACCCGCATCGCCGTTCTAACCCCTCCATCTGTGCCGCCGACGCGTCCCTGCACCGGTACCGCCAGATTGCCGCCGTCACCAGGGTGCCTGCACTGACATACGCGCTGCCGTCCCGCAGTGGCGCAGCTACCTCCTCCCGCACGGGTACAACGCTCCGTGCACCCGCCGCCGACGCATCGACGCTGTGCCTACACCAGCCCCACCGTCCTGAGCCAGCCAGACAGCCGCGACCGCCGCTGTGCGCCCGTACGACCGTGCTGCCGCCGGCGTACCTGCGGCCACGTCCGGAAGCAGCGGCACGCCGTGCTCGTCGACGGTGTGCGAGATGCCGTCGAACTGGTCCTCGTCGGCCTCCGGCGGCCGTGCGAAGTGCATGCTCTGGCTGACCTGGGGGCGGGGGCGAGGGGGGCGGGGGGTGAGGTACCGCCACTGACTCGGAGCCCAAGTCAACAACGAGTCGTCGGAGTCCGCGCGTCTGTCACTGGTCCCGGCATGGCCCCCTGTGCCACCTCTGCTGGAGAGGGGATCAGATGTTGCTTTTGAGATGGCATTACAACCAGCTGTGCTGGAACTGGGGGCCTGGGCAGTTTCTTACAGCATCAAAACTATGCATGTCTATAATGATATATGACATATATATAATGATATGATATATATATATATATATATATATATATATATATATATATATATATATATACATGACATCATTCTGGATGCAGATCAGAATATATATGTTGACCAAATGCAATGATCCTTTTGCGCCCATCAGCTGGGTCATGCTAAGGGTAGTATAAACGCACCTGCGCCTCGGCCAGCACGTGCACGTTGAACCTGGCCTGTGGCCAGCACCAGGCGCAGGAAGCGGCTGGGCTGGCGCAGGCAGACGCTGACCAGCGGCGGGTGCGCCGACACGCTGGTGAAGCTGGTGCAGGTGAAGCCGCGCCGCGGCCCGGCCGGGCCCGGGGCGGCCGCCGTCACCACCACCACTGCGGCCACACCGGGAGTGACGTCACCGCCGGCGCTCGGTGTGCGCCGCGGAGCAGGCCACCGAGTCGTGGCGAGCAGGCAAGGGATCCCTACATTGGCTCAAAAAATCTACAACCAAGCCCTTGCCTTACAACACATAATCTTAGATTTGTGGTGCTGCAAAGGCAAAAAGGCTTGATGGTGACATGCATGCTGGTCAAATCAATGTACATGAGCATGTAACATGGGAACATGTAGCCTTAGATCATTACCATTAGATCACATCATCACAGCCGGAGTTCTGACTGCGTGCCATGCTGCAGTCAGCTCAGAATAGGCCTGAACATAGCTTGAACATGACAAACATAGCTCCTGAATGGAATTATCACAACAAAAACAGAGCTTGCCAATGGCATTACTGTGTTGTTAGAGGACATCAGTGCCCACATCAAATAGATCTCACTTAAAACATGCACAAATAATATCATGTTATATGTCATTACTCTCCTGAAGATGTAAAGGATGCTGTGAAACTGTTTCTCGATTTGAATGTCATGACATTACTGGTCTGCCTCCTTCGATGAAAACACACCTGGAGCAGGCACTTCCCGCATCACACTCAGAAACTGCAGCTTTTTCTCATCCTCTGCAGCAGATGGCGCTGTTGACTGTCTTCGCAGCCCTGGAATTAACAGCACATGAGAGCTGACAAAATAAAAGCAAGTAACCATGTGAACAATGTTATTCATAACATCCATTTGATATGGAACTGCGCTTGGCCTTTACCATTACAATTCATAGACCATAAGGCCCCTTTAACATAAAAAAATCAAGTTTGACCTTCCCAAAACAGACTTGATGGTCATTGACAGAAATCATGTTACCATGCCCTTGGGCAGGGGCATAGTCTCCTATTCAGTTGGGGAGAGAGGAGTGCTCTAGCCACATCAGCTTTAGGAGTGTGGGTCAGATTCCAGGAGAAAGTGACTGGTGAAGTATTGTTGGGTATATTCAGCTATTTCTACAGCTCAGCCCACATGTATTTGGCAAATAAACAATCCTGCCCCCATCTTCCTTTGATCATCCACATAAATCAACACTTTTGCACGGGCTTGTGTGATACAGTGCCCCAAACCAGATGAAAATTTAATTTTAGGGCAGGATAAGTCCAAAGTTAAACCTGCTCCAAACAGGGCTGCTTGCTGCCCTTCTTGAGGCAGGAATGAGACTACCCCAATGATCTCATCCATATCCCACCCAGCACAATCCACCAACATCACATTCCTGCTAAGTTTGTAGACTGCATATGTTTTCAGGCACTTAATTACTCCCATATCTTGCAAAATTACAGTTTATGGAAATTGTCTCCATTTCTGGGCACATTTTACATGAAATGACCTCCAGCATATGCATTAGCTCTGAGGTAGTTTGCTGCTTGCCAGCATATAACTAGATATAACCGCATATAACTGCATTGATAGCATATATCACCACCATCTGGGGCTGTTTGTCATAAAGCAGCAACAAAGGGCTCTTCACAACATCACATGATGTTTTGCATTACAAAATTGTGATGAATTTTATGTCATGTCAGAACAGGTCATGTAATTTTCATTGGTATCCAGTTTTCATGTGCTGTGTGAATGTCAGATTGGTCAAGACAAACCCTTACCATTCCTGGGAAGTATGTGACTGGCCCTGCCCAGGTTGTAGCTTAATTTCAGGATGCTCCTCGTACTGCAGTTCATGATGGGCCTGTGAAAATAGAAGATAGTGAGTTCTTGTCAATAAGTTATGCTCCGGCAAACATCCAATATGAGAACACCGCAACAAATATGAAATAAACATAGACAAGCATTGCAACTGAGGTTCATCCCATATCTTGTAGACAACCAATATAGACTACAGATATAGCTCCTAGCTCATGCACGCAGACAGCTACCTCGCCGCAGTGTTCTACTGCCCTGTTTGGCTACAGATCACAACTGACAACGTAGTAACTCTGCCTGTGACACTACTCCTTTACACTATTGCCCTGCTGTTACACAGCATCAGCTTAGGCATTCCCAGGCTTCACGTGAAATCGAACGAATCGGTAGAAGTTCATGCAGCAGAAGTTGGACCACGTTCAGCCCAGATTCAACTTCGCCTAGATTTGGCAGGAAAACGTAGAAAATTCCCTTTACGGGTTAACAACTCCTCTGCGAGGTCTAAAGGCGGGCGAAACAGGCGAAACATTTCCCTAACGAGAGAATCATTTCCTGAGATCTCTGCCTGATCCAAAGAAAGCAATGCGCAGAAAATCAGCTATCTTTGTCCTTCCCGACTGCTCAGTTGGTTAGGGTGCCTGCCTTCCGATTCAGCCGCTCTTCGCGGGGTGAGTTTGAGTCGTTTTAGGCACTCGCTGTTTGCTCTTGACAGATATGGCATGCGACTGGTAGCAGCGGTCGCGATCAAGGTTGAATGACGTCAGAGGGCAGGAGGACCATACCGAGCGTTGCGACACGTTAAGCTGTCGCCATCAAATTCTGCCGTTTACATGGAATTGCACGATCGGGTGGTAGGGGCCGGGGCTTCCACTACAAGCAGTGCTTAGGGTGAGCTCTGATCCCAGAAATCCATCGATTCAAATGGCTTGGATTAAATCGTTTTAAAAAATCGTGTCCACCGGGAAAGTAATCGATCATCACAAAATTCATGTTTGCAGGACGCCTATTTATCTATCCGATTTTCTACACCAGAGAGTAGTAGACCAGTCCCCATTAATCTGGCTGAGTGACCCTATAGGCCATTGATATTAACGGTATCAAACTCCTTAAAACACATAAATAACATATTTTTCACTCACTTAACAGCAAGCATGGGCCAAGCTGTATGTCGCATGAGACCACTTCACAACTCAAATACAAACGTGCAAACAAAAGCCGTCAATCTTGTGTATGGTAAAAGCTATAGACCATCGACATTGTCTATATAGGGCGGCCCACGCGATTTTCTTCAAAACTATCCCATCCAGTTGTCGACCGTTGCTCATCAGTCTGGCTGAAGAAAACTAATGGGCAAGACAGGACAGACAAGAATGGAATTTAATTGTTCGGACTATCGGCCTTGTCCGTTGTGGCGGCGCGCGGCGCATCTGTCTGTCACGGGCCACATGCCGCGTTTTCAAGATGCGAGTGCGGTTCCTTGTTACGCTTGGCCCGGGTGGTCGCTTCGCACATGCACGTCGGAACGATCAATAGGGGACGGTCCCTTTAAATACACCGACCCCATCAGGGACAGGGTCGCTTGATATACACTCAGACGGACATTCAGACACTGACGATGTTGGGACACCCTGCCGGCATGGCCGCCGACGGCTGGGCGATTGGCACCTACGCCTCTAAATAATGTAATTCCACCGAGGAATCACCGGACTTTCGGCAGTTTTCTGAGATCCCAGGCCCGTTCTGTTTTTGTTTTATATTACCACGCATTGTCTTGCACTCTTTTAGTGCTTTTAGCGTATTGTCCTAGCATGCACACCCATGATGTGAATGTGTCGCCATAATGTACGGTGTCAAATCACGTGCTGACCACTGTCTGGTGTTCCTCCGTGTGGTTCAATGAATTGGTCTTGGGAAAATGCAAAGGTGAAGAATGTGCAGCCTCAGTTATTTTGATAAGTTAGGACGCGTCGTAATCAGGCCCATGTTTCCACGTCAACATCAGTATCTTATAATGCATATATCTTGGGTATGACTGAAGATTTCTAACGAGTTCAATCAAATGTTTGTTTTGTTTTTTTGTCATGAGCTAAATGCGTCACAAATATTTTACTCGATAACTCCTCGCGGGTAGCAACAGATGAGGGCCTAAGCGTCACAAACGCAAGAGCTCCCCGCGGGTAGCGATGGAGAAAGTCCAGCGCAGTATGTGGGTAGTTGTCATAGCCATAGTCTGAAAGTCCCACTTCCTAAATATATTTGGGAGTTGGCTGTTGATCGATCTCTCTGTGACTCACAGATGAGACAGACAGGTGAGACGCATCTTTACATGTCGCTGGCTGTTCGTAACAGTAGCAGTTGCACGTGCCCAGCAACTTCCGAAAGATGAAAGTCGGAGAAGAATGTTGGATTTCAAGTATTAACAGTGTCATCTTGCGGGAAAGAAGAGCAATTCACGTTGATTGATTCTTCCGTCGGTGGATTACCTCAGGGCCACAGAACGAGGTTTTCTAAGATGACCATGAGTAACTGACCTTTGGCACCGGCAGCGAATTCCGTCACTGCTGTCGGCACCGTTGTTAGAACCATTTCAGCGACTCCAAAAGGCGAGGTTCGCACATATTGTTTGCCGATGAAAGATCCCGGCGAGCCGATGACTGATTCCGGCAATAAATTGCTGTGAGCTGTTGAGCAATTCCGGCGAGCCGTTGAGAAATGCCTGTGAGCCGTTGAGTGATTTTGGCAACTAAGCATTGCGAGTCGATGAGGAATTCCGGCAGGCCGATAAATGATGAGGTGCGAGATATAAGGCGACGATCCCGGCGGCCGTTTATGGGCCGATGTGAAGTAATGTAGGCCAATGTGAAGTAATTTAGGCCGATGCGAAATTCCGAAGAGCCAACGGGTGATTCCCTCATGTTTTCCTCCTTCATTCCTTCACGGGTGATTCCTGCATAGTTTAGAGAGTGGGGGCTACGTGGTGATGCCGCGGTGAGCCTGACACCAGGGGGCTTGTATTTACTGGGGATAAATTCCGAGGTTTCGTAGTATGGCTGTACTGTTGCGCCCATAATTCAGTGGTCTGCTCGCCGCACATAGCCTGCAGACTGTGTGTAGCCATCACACAGACTGTGTGTAGCCATCCTGCAGACTGTGTGTAGCCATCACACAGTCTGCAGGTCTTCCCTTTTATATGGTCGGTAAACAAAAATGAATAGATGGTGTGAATGTGTGAACACTGGTGGCGAAATCCCTGTAAAGTGACGTTCGCTCTCCAACATATGAGGGCGAAAACGTCTTTTCCGTAAAACCCCACAGATTGCTGCTGCATAAAATTACTGTGTGCAATACAATAAGGAATGCAAAGAAACCAGGTGCTGTCAATAATGGCAAGGTTAGGTGCGAATATACGTAACTTGGAACATACGCACAGAAACTTTGCCCAACTTTTTAAGTCAGCCCCGGAGCTTGCTACTGTTATGCAAGTTGGACTTCGGGAATCTCGTAATTGCCGTTCTTCCGTTCGTTCGTGTTCATACAAACGGTCGCATACGACGTTTACCTGCGTGATCTGTGTCTAGACTATGTGTGTCACGTGAAAGTCTCCCGACAAGTATTCTGTCACACAAACTGTACCTATAGCAGCTTTTTGCATTGTAAACTTTTCACACGACGAACTCTTTGCCATACGTACGTTGTTCTCGCGAACTGAAGCCTACAAAATGTATCCTAGAAGTGATTTTTATGCGATCTTTTTCCATGCGTGCTTTTGGCATTTTTTTTCGGTGCCGTTACCCAAGAACAGGTGAGCAGGAGTGCCCCTCCTACAATCCCATCGACGTAATAAACCGTACGTTAACACCAGAAAACATAAAATCAAGTCGCAGCACTCCCAGCTAGGAAGATGAAACAAACGTAAAGAAGCAGGCGAAGATGTGGTGCTGGGAATTGATGTGGATGGGAATTGTGCTGGGAAGTGTGCTGGGAATTGATGTGGATATTGATGAAGATGTGGTGCCGAAGGAATTGTGTTATGCAACAGGCAAGGAAAAATCATACATGAGAAGGCTTAAAGTAGTCATTAGCCAAAGTCAGCTAGTGACAGCCCGCTATAACCGCCCAATAAGCTAAAACCACTCAATTCACCGTGTTAGTAAGGGTTGTACAGTCACACAAGTCGGAGGGGGCAATTATCTGGTCATTTTCGTACTGGGTTTTGAGCTGGATGTTCAGGGAGTCCAACCAGCCAAGCGGAGCTTGTTGCTGGGAGAACTCCCGGAGCCAGCGCCATGAATTTGGGTACATGGGCATGACTTTAACCATATCAGAACGTGATTATGAAACATGAAGGAGGTTAAATATGAAGTGCTTTGGATATGTGTAGCGCAAAGGATTGCAATATCTTCGGATATGTTGGCTACGTTGATTATATGTTGGTTACGTTATATATATACATATATATATATATATATATATATATATATATATATGTATATATGTGTGTGTAATGTATCGGTTACGTTACGCTGGTTACGTTAATATGTATTCACGAAATGATTGTTCTTATACCAATCAACACCGTGATTGGTATAATTGCCGGATGACGCTTGAGGTAGCACAGTAAGGTGTTGCATCTGCTTGTGGACAAAAACGAGTATAGAAAAGTTCGTATGGCAGTTGTTTGCAAAGTACAAGTTTGCGTGTCTTAAGATAGTCAGGATAAGCTTACGTACGGTCATAGGCGCAGGAGCGTTTCAAAAAGTGGGGGGGGGGGCAAGCTCAGGGTGTCCTTCAGGAACTTTTTTTGGAAAGCGAGCCCGATGACCGGTGGAGGGGGGGGGGGGGTAGAGATGGAAGTTGTTATCGCTCTTTATTTACATTTCATGGCTGCTATGCTAAATATGCATCTAGAGCTGTTTATCACTGGTGCACAATCTTGCCTATTCGACTCATGTCATTTGGTAAATAGTGCTATCCAGCTTCCCTAGATTGTTCTTCCATTTTAACATTGTCTTTCCTGGGGAGGCGAAATTCCACGAGCGGGTAGACACTTTGGGTCATAAAGGAAGCATCTGCCTCCACAGTGTAGATGCCCAAATACGGTCTGGATATAGGCTGGTGAGAATTTTGAAAGTGAATCGATGGCTCACAGCGCGACAGATTTTTCATGCGCCTTCATTTCGCTGGCTGCTTTTCAAGAGATAAGATTTAACGCAGCATTTTAGGCGGGAACAAATTCGGGAGCTTGAAACTGCTAGAAACAATA